GATTGACGTAAAACAATACCATTATTATCTTCATTAATAAATTGCCATTTCATTATTTTCAAGAATTAATTTCTCAATCTCTGATTCTAGACATCCATTTTAATGTTAACATTGATGTGGAAGGGGAGAATGAAATGATATTAATATGTAGTAAGTGTTAATATAAATAGGATTATTCAAACTCGGGAATAAATATAACAATAATTTTAATTTGTTTATAATACCAAATTATAGTTTCTGGATAAATGATACATTAATATGGTGAAAATTATATTTTATTGATTGATCAAAACTATTAATATTGTAACTTTATGGATGTAGGTGTCAGTAATCATATTTTTTTCAATCCAATAATAATTTTAATTTTGTTAAAGTACTTTACTTCTTTCTATTTGATATAGTTAATATAGTTCCAGTTTATTGATAACAATGATAAAAATAATTGTAAGCATAATAATAATAATAATAATTAATATTTATTATCAATTTTTTTAATATTAATATTAATATCAAATATAAATATTTTACTTACGATGCTCATGTTATTATTTTAGGAAAATTGAAGTGAAAAATAATAACTTATTATTGGTAGTGAGCTTTATGACTTGATCTAGAAAGATAAGTGAATTGATATTAATATTAATTATTGATTTACAATGAATTATTTATTTTATACCAATAAAAGTCAGTTTTTTAAAAAGATATCCAGCAAAGTAGAAAAGAAAATTTGAAAAATATATTCATTATTTGAATTTTATAAAAAACAAATGATTTTAAAGTGACAATTATATTTAAACTTCCATCTTAAATTTACTAAAGTCAAATAAATTATGGTAAATCATTTATTTAAATACATTACAAAATTAAATAAATTAAAAAGTCATTATTATTAAATATTTTCTTTTTTTTGACATATTTTTACAAATTTATAAAATGTTGAGAAATAGATTAAAAATTTAAGAGTAATAACAGGTGTCAATGTTTAATTAAGGCAGAATTACAATTAGGCAAATATATATTTAATGTTTAATTATTATTTTAATTATAAGAATTGTAAGATGATTTCTGAATTAATTATAATCTGTTTTCAGAAACTGCTGTTAATATTCATATTAATATGAATTATAGTGACACACATAATGTTTATGGTGACAATCCCAACGTGCGCCCTTTTCGATATCATACCAACAATGGTCCAACGTGCGCCCTTTTCGATATCATACCAACAAAGGTACAACGTGCGCCCTTTTCGAAACCATACCAACAAAGGTCCAACGTGCGCCCTTTTCGATATCATACAAACAATGGTCCAACGTGCGCCCTTTTCGATATCATACAAACAATGGTCCAACGTGCGCCCTTTTCGAGACCATACCAACAAATGCCCAACGTGCGTCCTTTTCGATATCATACCAACAAATGCCCAACGTGCGCCCTTTTCGATATCGTACCAACAAAGGTACAACGTGCGCCCTTTTCGATATCGTACCAACAAATGCCCCAACGTGCGCCCTTTTCGAGACCGTACCAACAAATGCCCAACGTGCGCCCTTTTCGAGACCATAACAACAAATTCCCAACGTGCGTCCTTTTCGATATCATATCAAAAGGTACAACGTGCGCCATTTTCGATATCATATCAAAAGGTACAACGTGCGCCATTTTCGATATCATACCAACAATGGTACAACGTGCGCCCTTTTCGAGACCATAACAACAAATACCCAACGTGCGCCCTTTTCGAGACCATACCAACAATGGTACAACGTGCGCCCTTTTCGAGACCATAACAACAAATCTTTTCGAGACCATACCAACAATGGTCCAACGTGCGCCCTTTTCGATATCGTACCAACAAATGCCCCAACGTGCGTCCTTTTCGAGACCATACCAACAAAGGTACAACGTGCGCCCTTTTCGATATCATGCCAACAAAGGTACAACGTGAATAGCTAGCTTTCATGATCTAAATAAAATAAATAAAATATATTCGGCAATAAAATATCAACAAGATCTTAAAATTTTAATTAAATGGATTATTTCCAGCAAAATCAACCAATCAATCAAGAAAGCGTTAAATGAAAGAATAATTAAAACAAAAAAATTATACAAGGAACTTAGAATCAACTTAAGCATAAAAATTGTAGATTTATGCACTTTGGCAGGGCGGAATTATATAAATGATTCTGTAATTGATTCAGTACTAAAAATATTTATGGCTTATAAAACCCAAACATCCAATTACAATGATATTATTTTGCTCCCGGTGCACTTTTATAGTTCTATAATGGACAATAACTTTAGATTAGCATCTAGGCTGTTAAATAATTTTGGTTTTCAAAGTAATGAAACTAAAAAAATTTATATTATTTTACATATTAATAACAACCATTGGACAGTTGCAAAACTTGATATAAAATCAAAAAAAGTTTATTATGGTGACTCTTTAAAATCTGCAGCTCCAAATGGTTTAATAAAAAACATTAACCAGTTTTTTGCAAATTATAATATTGTGTTTGAAAATAGAATTTATTACATTAAAAAGATTCCTCATCAAAATGCAACTTAGATTGTGGAATAATTGTCTTAAATTATATCGAACAAGAAATTGGGATAAGCAATCAATCATGGAGTATGCAACAATCTGATTATTTTAGAATTAGATATTTATGCCTAACTCTAAATTGCAACTCAGAAGAATTTGGTTTTCCACAAGGTGTTAAAGATTCAATTAAAATCAATTTTCCATTACAACCATATTTGGATGAAGATGGCAACAATATTGATTGCAATGATAATAATAATTATTATGATGGCAATTATGAAGACAACTTTGACCATGATGATTATCATGAAGACAATTTTGGTTATGAAGATTATGATTATGATTACAGAGATGATTTTGGTTATGAAGATTATGATTACGGAGATGATTATGGTTGTGAAGATTATGAAGATGATTTTGATTACAAAAACTATAAAGATTACATTAATTATAATGATGACGGTGAAACCTCTAATAATCTTTGTTATGATGATTATGATAATTCAATGGATTCTGATCAGTATAGATTGAAATCTGATGAAATAAAATCATATTTGTCAAAACATTGGGAATCAATTGATGAGGCAGTAAAAGATGTTAAAAAATATGCAAGAGGACAAGGATTTGATGCAAGCATTGGATCCTCAAGACATGATGGTGCTTA